AGATCTCAGGTTAGTATTATTATTACAACATAAAACACTACAACTTTGAAAGTCCTACTGTCCTTAAAAAAAATCCAAACATGTTAAAAGTTCAAAGTCTCTTTTTATAGTCTATTACCAGTGGGCTCCTGTAAAATCCCAAACAAATTAAGTACTGTCTTATTTCAAAAGGGAAGGATTATCAAAACCAAAGTGTAGCAAAGCAGCTCAAAGCTGGACATCTGAGATTCATTCACATTTTCTGGCCTCCAAAGGGCTTGGGCTGCTTTACTTCTCTGGCTCTGCCGTCCACACCACACACAGCTTGTCTTGTAGGCTCAGGCAGCTCCACTTCACACCTGCCACTGACCTTGGTGATCATCCCATGTCTTGGCATCTCCAATGTGCTGGAGGTCTCTATTGAAACTGAGGCAGCACCTGCACCAATGGGCTCTTCTGGCCTTTCAGGGTGCAGTCTCAGATTGTCTCCATAACCCCTTCAATCCTAGGGGATCATCACTGCAACTGAGGCTGCACCTTCAAAGGCCTCCCCTGCTCTCAGGGTGCAAAGCCTCAAATTCTCTCCGTGACCTTGCTAGTACTGCGGGCCTTCATCAAAACTGAAGGTGCACCTTTACCAATGACCTTTCCTGGCCTCTCACAGTGCCACACCTCTGCTGCTCTCCATGCTCCTAAGGGATTTCTTAGTAAGTGTAGGTTTTCTTGAGTTGGAGAACCTGCTCCAGATACCACCAGTTCATTAAAGAAATTCACCCTTTCAATTCTGTTTCTCTAGAAACACCCTTGATATCCCACTTCTGGTACCACAATCTGTATTAGTCAGGGTTTTCTAATGAAACAGAGCTGAGGGGCTAGAGAGATGGCTCATTGGTTAAGAACATTTGCTATTCTTGCAGAAGACCTGGTTTCAAATCCCAGCATTCACAAGCCAGCTAACAACTGTCCATAATTCCAGTTCCAGAGGCTCTGACTCCCTCTTCTGACCTCCATGGGCATTGCATGACATGGATGCACTTACATACATGCAGGCAATATACAAATACACATAAAATAAAAAAATAACAACAAATAATAAAATGTTAAAAAAGATACCATGTTCTTAAAAAAACAAAAACAAAAACAGAATTAGCTGGGCACGGTGGCACATGCCTGTAGTCCTAGCACTTGGGAGGCTGTGAGTTCAAGGCCAGCCTGGTCTACATAATGAGTGCCAGTTGAGTTCAAGGCCAGCTGGGGCTTCAGGGCGACCTTGCTTCAAAAAGATCAAAAAACAAAACAAAACAAAACAAAAAACCAGAATTGGAGAGGCTGAAAATCTGGTAGTTGCTCAGTCCATGAGGTTGGATGTTTCAACAGTCCCAATCTGGTGCAAAAGGCCTGAAGGATTCCTGGAGATCTGCTAGTGTTCAGTCTACATTGGAATTCAGAGAAGTTAGTTTTACTATCAGCAGAGGAATGCCACAACAAGATGAACTCAGCAGTGAAAGTGAAAGCAAGCAGGCAAAATCAAAAACTGCCTTCTGTCATGGCCCTTTATATGGGCTGCCATCAGAAAGTAACATTCAGGGTGGGACTTCCAGCTTCAAATAATCCAAACCAGAAAGTCTCTCTCATTTCAGTTAATTCTAGATCCATCAAGTTGACACCCAAGATTAGCCATCACACTTACTAAACTTAATTTTCCCAAGGTTATTTGGACTTTTCAATGCTACCAATACACCTGATTTTTCAGTATTTTACCATTTTAGTTAAAAGGGACCTGTGGGGGTAGTTGCACATATGGATTCACAACACTTGTGACAGCATGCAGAAGACTTGTGCAAACCCTAGCCAGAGAAAAATCCACCATGGATAGGGGAGGTGGCCAAGAAGCCTCACCCCTAGCTGAGGGTCTATGGACAACTGATGGCTATTGGGGGTAGACAGTTTTCTTTAAGGATATGAAGGTTGAGAGGTTGACCAGACTCCAAGGGATGGACCCCCATACAAGAGCATTTGGGGGACACAAATTAGACTCAATAGACTTTTTAAAAATAGAAAAACATTAATAAAGAACATGAAGTGAGGGAATGGGTGGTAGAGTGGGGGTGGAGAGGGTGAAGGGGGTCTGAATAAGATCAAAATACACCGTGAGATTCCCAAGAATCCATTGGAAAAAATAAAGAACTTGTGGGTAGTACAGCCATTCCCACTGTTGCTGTTCTCTTTTTTCTCATAACCTGTGAATTGGGTAACAGACAAATCTGTTTACCTCTGGAAGCAACAAGAAAAGGCTCTTAGTGGGCAGATCTGAATCTGGGTGCTTGCTTGCTTGAAAATAGCAGACTCAAAATCACCCTTTATGGCAAGCTTGCAGACTCTTTTTTTAGGATCAGAAATCTTTGTT